TATACTAATTATATTTTGTCTTAAAAACAGGAAAGCTTTTATAGGTTTGTTCCCTATTTAATCTTTAAATTGGCCCAGTAAGGGAAATTTTCTTAAAGTAATTATTCCAAATTCTGAGACTAAACATTCAGAGCATATTCAGTGTGTTACTCTTGAAGGATCAGTGTCCTGACCAAATGAACATCTCCATGTCTCACTATGCATGCTTATCTTCAAATTCAGTGTTTCTAACTGTGATTCCTATCCTGATATAGCATCAAGAACTAAAATGGGACAAGTTCTAGAACCTTTCCTTACACATTCTTCATCCGTATCTCTTGTCAGCTGCTCCTAATGACACATCCTGTCAACAGGCATGGCCTTTTCACACACTCTTCTAAGCTTTCAAACAATCTCAGCACTACTGCCAACAATATCTTTCAGGTTCAACACTCACTTTAAGTTGCACAGCTATAAATCTGAACGAAGGAAATCATGTTGTAACTGAAGTTCTTCCAAGTGTTCTACCTCTGTACAGGAGTGGAAACATATTGCACCCTACATTAATTTATATGACTTAAAGTAATCTAAAATATAAATCTGAAAGGTACTACTTTAATGCAAATTTGTACTGTACAATAAAAAATTTAAAATATATTAAACCTGAAAGATGATTTAAGCACCAAAAAGAGAAAGTATAAAATGACAAATACAATCAGTCTTCTTCTAGAGAATAATCATCACTCTCCAAGCTCCAAACCCTGGCCTGAATGCCATTTCCTCTAAATATGTCCTTCACGTCCAGCAATAGAGCTGTCCTTAAATAAACACTTCTTGTCCATGTAGCCTACTCAGACTGCAATGACAGAATAGCTGCCACTGATTTCAGTGAATCCTTCACTGAAATCATGATTTTTTGCAGAGTAGGCTTCAGAGTTTCCCTGAAACCAATTGTTAATTGAAGAGTCATGAGATAGGAGTACCAAAAAATGGCATAAAACAATGATGATTCACAAAACAGCAAAGGAAAATTGCAGACATCAAAATTCTGACGTTTTGGGGCTGGGGAGATAGCTCAGTAGAGGCAAGCACAGGTTCCTGAGTTAAATGTCCAGTATTGGGGAAAAAATCTGACATTTCTTTATTTCATGTGAGTCTGTGAACTATATGTTATAACATACAATGCACTGAATTATAAAGATTCATATTCAGCACAACCACGTCAGTTCCTCATTGGGTACACAGGTTACCTGTGCACTGTGGCTATATTCCAACTGGCCATTTGGCAGTAAGCATGTAGCTCAATTATTTACAAAGGTGTTTGCCTCTGTCTAAGGTGTCCACCTTGGTGTTTAAAAATAATTATAATCATTTATTGTAACTATAAAAGCCAATGACATTACTTATATTTAGTATATTAATAATATTTGCAACTGACTTATTAAATGTGTCTAATACTCTTAATCTGGGCTTATTTTCAGCTAGGACCTCTCTTCCAATTAGTTTAAAATGTTTTTGCATAAAAATATAGTACAGCATGTTCTTTCTTCACTTATGTGTTGACACGTAAGCTGCTTCCAAGATTTCTTTTTCTCTCAGTTGTACTGCTATTAACATGTGTGTGCATGCATCACTGTCATATGTCTTTAAGTTTTTGCAGGAGATAGATAGGAGAGTGTTTCTACATGATTTTACTGTGGGCATGTGGATCCACATATCTCTATGTAGAAAATAAAAATTAAAATAGTAAGAGAATGACCAAAAAGCTCAATTGAAGATGGTACATTAGAGCTACTATACCTATGCAAATTCAAAGACTGGGACTCAACTCAGCTTGGTAAAACAATCCATACACAAACATGAATTTGTGTCTGTATTCCAGAGAATAGCATCAAATAATCTCAACTAAATAAAACGGTGTGTAATAGAAACTTCCATATACAATAATTAGCTATCATTATGTACCTTTCCACTCTAATTTTACTTACAGATTCTGGCATCAAAATTAAAGGTAAAAGCATCCCTTAAAGCAATACAAATCAAAATGAAGCATCTAGAATAACCTGGACACTTTATCATTTCAAGTATCCACATATCAAGCTGACACATTTTTTTTTACCTTAGCAGAAATATTTGTCATCTTCCAGACTTAAAATACACTAATTTGAATATCATCAGGCACCTAATAGTATGTAGTTTTTCTCCTAATTTCCTAATAAATAGTCAGAGATATTTTAGAAAAGATGCCTAGTTCCAGCAACATAGCTGAATAGTTATAAAGGAACCATCAACTTACAGAATGCCTAAAATACTAGATACAATTATTTTGAAATATCTTTAGGTAAAAACTAACTAAAAAGAATTTTTAAAAAAAAAATTCATTACTTGCCCTCTTAACTCTCTTAATGGAAAAAAAATCAAAAGAAAGCACTAATTCGTAAACACCAAATGAAAATAGTTCAGCGGTCTAAGTGTCTACTTAGCAAGCACAGGGACCTACGTTTGATCCCTGGTACTGCATGGGGTTCTGGCCCCACCCATGGCGTGCCTAGCTCCCACCATAACTGGACATGATGGCATACATCTGTAATTCTAGTGCTGGGTAACTGAAACAGGAGGATCACTATGGATTCGAGCTGCGTAGTGAGACCCTGCACCAAATACATAAAATGAAAAAATAAAAAGAGACATCAGTAGCTGGGTATAGTGGTACAAGCTTGCAATACGAGCACCTGGGACACTAAGTCAGGAGGCTCACAAGAAATCTAATGACAGCTTGGATTACAAAGCAAGTCTCTGTCTCACAAAGTCAAAGGGGAAAAAAATGAAAGAAGACAACAACAATAAAAAGACAACAAAGAGGGGCCGGGAGATGGTTCAGTAGAATAAGCGCTTCCCTGGCAAAGTGCAAGGGACTGAGTTCAATCCCTGGTTCTTCCAAAAAGGAAAAAAAAAGGCAACAAAAAAATCAAGCTACATTAAATGTAGTTTAAATTGTCTTTCATGAATAAATTAAAAATAAAATGAGAAAACTATTTTAATACATAAGCAAGAGATACTCCTAATAAATAATACATATAAAACTAGGATGAAAAATATTAGCAATGTAATAAAATGTGGACTAAGACTTGAGCAAGCATTTCACAGAAAATGAAATATAAATAACCCATAAGTGGGCCATAAATAGCTTCAAAGATTGTCAAATTCAGGGGTAATGAATAAAAGATTGCACATTGAAATGAAATCATTTTTTTTTTACAAATGACAAACTGGCAAAAATGTAAAATTCTTACAATGTTATGTATTGCCTAATATGTATATCAATAGCTTTTAATACCATCTTCATAACTTGGGAAGCTTTTAAAAAACAATGCATGAATTTCATTCCCAGAAAATAGAACTAAAGTAATCTGGGTGTGATCAGGGAAAGTCTGTTTTTCTAAGGTTCCATAAATAATACTACCATATAGCTGTGTGATAGAATTACTAATTCTGACCTCTGGGAATTCTTATACAGTATTTGTAGAGAAAAAGATCAGTACAATCATATCAGAAACTAATTTGACATTATTCATTAATGCTGCAGAGGTACATATTTGGTAACCCAGAAATTCTGAGATTCTAGACCCAGTCTACTGCATCACAGAAAGGGCTAAAGAGAGACTGCTGGACTCTGTCTCTAAATTTCAATTTAGTAACTCTGGGTTGGAGGTAGACATTTTGTACTTCTGATGTGTTTTAATTATGTTGAAACCACTGGTCTAGAGGAGTTCTTCAAAATTTGTACCAAAATATTCATATAAATAACCTTAACATCATTTGTACCATTAGTATTAATAATAATGATAGCAGTAATTATAAAAATACACTCATGCTACAATCAAACATGCACTGAAAGGATAAAAAGCAAATGAACAGAAAAATACGTGCCTGGTAGAATATTATACCCCAGCAAAAGAGACAATCACTACACACATCAAAATAGAAAAATCTCAAAAAAAGTAAGATGATTTAGATCGTTAATGTACATGTAGTATTGTACTATTCACTAAAAGTATTTTAGAAGGCAAACATTAAACATATATTATAGGGATGCATCCATATGAGAAAAAAAAGCATTAAAAAGAATAGTGATAATAGCTTAAGATTCAAAATAGTGGTTTCTCTTGGGCATATATGGTAAAAAATAAGGCCTCCATATGTACTGGAAAGGTGAAGATATACAGATACATGTCATTTATCGTATGCTTTTAGTGGTACAAATACAGTGTAGTACTAATATAATCCACAAGACCTCTTGTAAATCTAATTCAATTTTCTGTCCTTACAACTCTTAACACTCGGAGAGAATGGCCTTATAACTTTATAGTTTGAGAATTATACTTCTATTCATTTGACAATTCACTGCAAATTTCTTCTGTTAAGCCAATCAGGAATATTTTTCAGCTGGTCGTCATCAAGTGGATAGTGATTCTTCTTGTTTACAAATATAGATTCATTCCTCTGTTTGCTTTTCTTTTGAAACCTCAGTAATAACCGTAAAGGTTTAAGTAGACCAAGTCTTGTTTCGCTGAAGTGTTGAGATTCACAGATGTTTAAAGGATTATTTGTTAAGATAGCTTGAGTTTTCTTATAGGATGTTTTTTTAGAAACTTTCCCCAGTAGTTTCAAATCCGCATGTCCTAGGCTTCTCGAAGTACGGTATACTGAAAACTTGATGGTAGGAGCTGCACTGGCTTGTTTTCCAAAGAAATCACTGTTTCAAGGGAGAGAGAACTTCTCACTGCAGAGCTATTTCAAAACTCATTTGGAACAAGTCTGTGAATGGAAGTGAGTGCTGAGGTCACATTCTGCTAAGAGGAAATAAATACAGCTGAGTTTAAAAATAAAAGAATAAAAAATAAATAAAATAAACTTATCTTTTCCAAGCCTGATATTTATCCTGTTTGTTTTGTTTAAGAGAGTATCATTTTTGTGTACCTTTTCTAAGTATTTCATGTATATTTTAATGTAACTATATATGAAGAGGAGAATTCTTCACAAATTTGAGTGTCATCCTTGCACAGGGGCCATGCTAATATTCTCTGTATCATTCCAATTTTAGTATATGTGCTGCCAAATCAAGCATGAGGAAAATTCTTAATTGTGTTTGAAGAGAATGAGATAAGACACAATCAGATAATCTTGAACAAACCTTACTCTTCGGCATTCATTTATAACATGCACTGAGAGAAGCTAGCTAAATAAAAACTGAACAAATCCTATAATAAATTACAAATCTAGTTTTGTTTGAAATATTTCCCCCTCAAAGCAGTATATTGAAATTATCTATGAAAATAACTTACAAAAGCATATTTGGCCTAGGGCACTGAGTTACTAACAAATATAAAGCCAATAATAGTCTTTACTGCAATCCTCAAAAATTGATTGCTTTCCCAACTAGCAAAATGTGTTCATGTTTATTTATAAACATTCATCAAGCAAATTCTAATAGTGCTGTACCATCAAAAGCAAAGTCATAGGGATAGGTTACATGTAGAGAGGATTCGGAATATATGCCAATGCCAAATTGCACCAAACAAAGATGATTAATTAATATGTATGAGATTTTTTCAATATAAGGTGATACTCCTGCTATTCCTTGGATTTATTGTAAAAGAAATCATCATTTTCTGAAATCCTGCCTCTATTTCAGATATCGTATTACTCCAAATAGTGAATTTTATGTGATGGCAAACTGAGCAATCAGCTAGCTGCCCATCTTCTCAATGCCTGAAAATTTAATGATGGTCTGCTGTTCCTTCCGAGGAAACTTGGGCAAAAGATCAGGTTAGAGCTTTCCAGATGTTCAGGATCTACAGAAATGCCTGGTGAGTATCCCTAAGCTCTGCACTAAACATTCAGTCCTCTGCTAGACCAGTGACTTCTTCTGTGCAAAGAGGAAGAACATCTTCACATTACATCCATCCTTCTTAGTATCTTTTTTTATACCATATCAAATACTCTTTATGATTAAAAACAAACAAAAACTTCCCTCTCTATGATGCTACACATAACCAACAAAAAGGTTTTTTGAAATCTGCATATACCATCTTTTTATTTTCAAAATTATATAAAAGTTATTAACTACAAAACCTCAATCTTCTTTTTGGATTTAGTATGACAAATGCATTGTTTGCCTGCAACTAGGCTAATGAAGACTACTGCTTGGATAATCCATACCCAGAACTAAGCAGCTGAGTTCTGGGTAAACTGTGCAGACACAAACAGATTTCACTTCTCAGTGTATATGAACCTTCAGAGAATCTTCTATGACAGAACAATTTAAGAATGACAGAAATACACAGATTATATGGAATCCTTATGCTTAGTTTCATAACAGCATTTTGTTCAGTAATGGAGGCTGGAATAGTTCTTATAATTCCCAGAAATATTTCAAAGAATATGTACCAAGGAAGGGAAAAATCCATAAATCTGTCAGTACACTTAGCATGAACTTCTTACTTATTCAATATGGCCTGTAGAGTACCAGGCTTGTAAGTTCAAAGTATCCATTTTAAAATATTAACAAATCACACGACATAACAGTGATCATATAACAATATTATATCATCAGTTTGATTCTAAAAGAACTAAAAGAAATGGCCAAAACAATGTTTATGATACAGTAAATATACTTCCAGCATCATATTTGAAGGCTATTTTCAAAAACCACTGCAGAAAGTTATGAAAAACATAGTGGAAATAAGCAGATGAAGAATGATAAAAAAAATCTGTCTGGTTAAGGAATTAGTAAACATTTCTAGGAGTAAGCTGGCTTTCACTCACATTTTAAAAGACATAAATGATGTTAAGGATATGAAAAACAGAAAGAAGTGAAGGCAAATCATGTACAACATGTCTAGATTATATAGATGAGAATTTTAGTAATATGTAAAAACTTTCAAATCACTCATATATCCATTATAACATTTAAGAAGAAACAAAAGTGATGAGAGCTAGTGTACTTTAAGGAAGAAATAAATTAGCGGCGAGGAAGAAACAAACCTAATTGATTCGATTAAGATGCATGAGATACAAGAAATCTAAGAGAAACTGGAAACAATCATAGTAAAATTATTAAAGGCATAAAGGATTAGTATATACCCTGCAAAGAGGAGGAACATGTAAAGATTTCATAAATCTTCACTGAAAGGAACAGTTACAGTGCACCTTAAATATGACTGCACCTCAGCAACCTAAATGAAAAGAAATAGAACTCCACACAATAAGTTTGGGAGGGGGAACAAAAATGTGATTTTTTTTTGAAAATCCTCCTGCAAGTAATAGCAGAATTAATAATTTTAGATAAATTGCTAGAAAAAAGTGGAAGTTAGACCTAAAAGATATCCAAGAGGCTCAAGGACACTATTCTATCTGTTTAGCATATTACACTTTGCAAGGGTCTTAAGAGGTGCATTACATTTAACTTTAAAAAAAAAACACACCTCTTTTTAAAGCATATATTTTGTTTTGGGGGACACTTGAGGTTGAAAAAAAAGAAGGAAAGTGATTGCAGAAGATCAAACAGGAAACAACTGACTGAAATGCCAAATAAAAAGCTGTTCTTTGCGCCATTACGCTAAAAGTAGAATTTTATTTATAAAGTGCTGAAGAATAGAAACTCAAAGGAGAGACTATGTGGAAATTAGTCACTGAACTCTAGAAAAAAGCACAGGCACCTTTTTTTTTTTTCTTTTTGTACTGGAAATCATACTCATGACCTTGCACTTGCCAAGCTGGCACTGTACCACTGAGACATATTCCTGGCCCATTATTTGCTTTTTCTGAGAAGTAACAAACTTTTCACCTGCTCAATTGTATTGGTAGAATAAAAGCTATAAAATAAAGATTAAAATTCCTTCTGATATTTATTCACAAAGTTGCAAGATTTTATTTCATTAAATGGTTGCATCACTCCGAATACTTCATATGGGATGAAATAAGTATTAGTCTTTATTAAGATTATTTTGTGTTTAAAGGGAATAAAAATAGCAAAAAAAAAAAAAACACATTGGAAATGATACAGAATTTCACTAAACAAAATGATAAGAATTCAACAATAGGTATTACATTGCATATTGTTGTCTTCAAATTAGCTATTAAGAGAACCAGACATAAACATGCAAAATTGGTCAAAAAATTAAAAAGAAAAAAAATTAAGCAGTAACTGCTCCTTTCACTAGACCAGCAGAAATCAGCAGTACAATTATCCAATCTATACTGTGCATACATACATATTTCTTATTAGTAGTTGAATTCTCATTTTGCTAAAATGATGCTTATTAATGCAGAAAAAGGAACTCAAAGCTCCTTAAGTTACATTAAGTAAAATTAAGTCTTTATTACTTGGCCCTTCATTACATGTGTATTTCAGAACACAAACAATAATGAATGTTAGTGAAGACATTTATAATGTCTTCTAATGGTGGAAGATGTTTTAAATATCTTAATTTCTACTTTGATTTCTTATGATAGACTTTGCACAGAGTGATTTGTTTTATGGCATTTTTATTCCCATTAAACAATAAATTCTACCAACACATCCAAATACGTATCAAAGCTGGAAAAAACAGGTCAAACTAACAATGTGCTGTTTAAATAAATAAACTTAGTATCATAATAACTTGTGTGTGACCCCTGATTGGCTGTCATACATTTTTTACTTACATAAAAATTTTCAAAAATACTTTCAATGTCACAAAATGAATAGTTGAATACTATTATGTTGTAAATGTAAAACAACAAAAAAAATCCTAATAAGAATTTTCTATAACTCTGAGATTTCTCTGATGTGTGAACAAACTTCCCTCATAGGACTACTTTCCTTATATCCTGTATGTTTTGTTATGTCATATTGATATACTTCAATTATAGAAACTGTCTAATTCCTTATTTAATTTCAACTGTGACCCATTGGTTGTTCAAGGGGATATTGTTTAATTTCCATGTGTCAATATAGTTTTCTGTTTTCTTTCCCCATATCTTTCAAATTTCATTGCTGTATGATCTGACACTATGCATAGGATAATTTGAATTCCTTTGCTTTTACATAAGCATGTTCTGTGAGTTAACATGTGGTCTATTTTGCAAAAAGTCCAACGTCTTGCTGAGAGGAATGTATAGTCTGTTGTTCTTGGGTTGAAACTTCTGTAGCTATCTATGAAATCCACTTATTCAAAGGTTTGTTCAGCTCTGATATTTCTTTCTTAATTTACTGTCTAGTTCATCTGTCCATTTGAGATAGTGGAGTGAAGTCCCCCATGTACAGTTGCATTAGTACTTACATGCTTCTTCATACCCATTAGTGGATGTTTTATATAGATGACTGTTACAGCATTTGTTGCCAATAAATTTATGATTTTTATCTGTTCCTCTTGGAATTTTCCCTTAAAAGGTATATAGTGACCTTTTTTGTCTCTTTTGATCATTCTCAGCTTTAAATCCACTTGGCTGCAAACAGAATAGCTATTCCTTTTTGTAAAAATAGTTCGTGTTACATGGAGTAATCTTCTCCATTCTTTACCTTTCAGTCTATGGATGTTTTTTCAGAAAATGTGTTTCTTGTATGCAACGTATTACTAGATCTTGTGTCTTGGTCCATTCCTCTAGTCTGTTTCTTCAGATCGGTGAACTGAGACCATTCACATTGATGGTTATACATGACAATATTGACCTGCCATTGTAGTACTTTCCTATTGATCTCTTTCTTTCTCTTCTATTTAACTCTATGCCTTGCCTGCTAGATTAATTCTATTTGGATTATACTAGAATTGTGTCTTTATTGTCACTTTCTAGAAACTTTTGGAGTGCTGGTTTAGTTGTCTTGAATTTCTTTAGGTGATGTTTATCATAGAAATACCATATTTCTCCATCAATTTTAACAGATAATTTTGAATGTTACAGCAATCTGGGTTGGGTATTTTTTTCTTTTAGGACTTGAATTATTTCAAATTTTCTAATATTTAATGGTTTTTTTGAGATGCTTAGAGTGATTCTGAAGAACTTTGCTTTCACTGATTTGTTTCTTTTCTCTAACTGCTTTTAATATTCTGTTCTGGCGTTACACTTCTAGAATCTAATGATTAC